GTGTTGGGCACACGTGGTCACCTCATGCTCCCACTCCCGTGTTAGGCACACGTGGTTGCCCCATGTTCCTGTCCCCATGTTGAGCACACGTGGTTGCCCCATGTTCCCGTCCCCGTGTTGGGCACATGTGGCCACCCCGTGCTCCCACCCCCATGTTGGGGACACGTGGCCACCCCATGCTCCATGTCCTTGGTGGGGATGTGCCATGGCTGCCCTGCCTTCCTGTCCCCGTGTTGGGCACACGTGGCCACCCCGTGCTCCCACCCCCATGTTGGGGACACGTGGCCACCCCATGCTCCATGTCCTTGGTGGGGATGTGCCATGGCTGCCCTGCCTTCCTGTCCCCGTGTTGGGCACACGTGGCCGTCCCCGTCCCCGTCCCCGCCCCGCGCTCCCATCCCTGTGCTGGACATGCCGTGGCCTCCCCACGCTCCATGTCCCTGTGTGGGATGTGCCGTGGCTGCCCTGCCCTCCCGTCCCCATGTTGGGCACACGTGGCCGCCCCGCGCTCCCCGTCAGGTATTTCTGGTTCCAGCGTTCCCTCTCCGTTGCTTTGCTCCAGGACCCTATGCAGCCGGCCTCAACGGCACAGACACAGGAGAGGAGTTTGCTCTCTGGGTCCTGTGCTGTGACCCAGGGCGAGGAGCTGGATCTCCTACTGTCCCGGCTTTCCCGGGCTGTCTGCGCTTGTAAGGTTTGAGCATGAGGAACATCTCGAAGTGCTCCACAACAGCAGGATCCAAACCCACTGAGAAATTAGGTGCTCAGGAAATACCGATCCGAAAAGCAGTTAGAAGAAAGAAGGCAGAAGTCTTACTCTCTTAAAACACCACTGCTCCGAGGATTAGGAATAGAGGTTTTCCTGCCTTAGAAACCTACTTCTCCAATACTGCGTGCAGCCGCATCACCCAGCTCCTTTCAGACTGACACAGCTCCGTTTCAGAAAAAGAATTAGCACCTTCTGCAGCTTGATGCCCGCTCCTCTGCTAGGCCATGCTCAAATTCACTCGCTTTGACAGACAAACAGGAAGTAGGAAGGCGATGCAGCAGCAAAGTTTCTGAAGGACAAAACATAGTGAAGCACAGCATACCAGTAAGAAGCTGCCTGTACACTTTCATAAAAAGTAGATGCCAAAAATAGGAGGGAGTAGGAAATCTTAAGATGTTAGCAAGTCCTAATGTGCACTGCGTTTCTGTGATTCGGACACGGAGTGAAGTATTCCAGCTTACAAGTCAAGTTATAGGAATGCTTTGCTTTCCTCTGGAGATATCTAAGCTCAGCCTACCACTAACAAAGCTTTGTTTCACTACTAGGAAGCGTACAGGCTCAATCACCCTCCTTTGAGCCGACGTAGAAACAGAAAGAGTAACTCGGTTCTCACTGCTTGGGCATAAAGCCGGGGGAATTTCACGATAGGAGCAGTAAATTCAGCTGTGTGAATACATTCACATGCACAACTGTAAGAGTCCATGATGGGAAGAAACATGGAAAACTAAAAAAGAGAGGTAAACTAGGGGTAAGGAAGGGATAAATTCAGTATAGCTTTTGCAGCCAAACCTGGCTCTCAAAAAAATTACTAATTAGGCTAATATAATGGTCTAAAATAAGTGCTAAAAACCCTAACCCAAGACTGCTGTATATGCTGCAAGAGGAATTACTATGCATCTATGAGCCTCAGTATTGTACGTGCACACCAGTAAATTCATCTTCCTGGCAATCTTTTCCCCCAGGTTGGAATCATGTCTTGGTAAGAGACAACAGGTTGCAGTCACAGACAATTTTAGTAGCTGCTGTAGAGGACAATTAAAAACGGTGCCATATCTAAGAGCTTATTGAATCTCCTATCAAGATGCAGGACATAAGTTGATAACGAGCAGAAAACATTTTTGAAAACTTTGATGCCCCTCCCTAAAATCAGGGCTAAGTTTTGGTGAAAGGACAAACAGAGATACTGAATGATGTAACAGCCACGAGGAACCGTTCTTTGGGCCAATTCTATAGCAGAACTCATAAAATCCAACCCAGATCCCCAGCCCCTTCCCAAACCCCTCAGGTACCCCTTTGTTTTCCCCATTAAGGCCCATTTCAAACTGCATTTTACCTTCGGCCATGCTAACCGAACAGCGCAGAAAGGTGGAGCGGTTGGCAAGTACAACGCGCTCCCGCATCTCACTGAAAACACACCACCAGCACGGGAGGATTTTCCTTTTCAGAAGTGCTAAAACATGTAGCCCCACAGGGGTTCACCGACTTCAGGTTTGAGAGACTTATGAAGGACAGGTAGCAGCTCCCACCGGACACGAGGTTAAATTAAATCCCCTGGGAGCTCTCGGGAGTTTGTGTGCTGCTTTTACGATCACCTAAAGGAGCTTTGCCATGCGGCAAACGGTTCTTTCAGGCAGAGGTGAAGTTTCTCTCTCGATCAAAGCACGTGCCTGGTAAAAGGACAGTGGGATTTACTACTACATGGCTAAAAGCTGTATCAGAATCCACTCTTTCACTGCTTGGTTACTAATAACAATTCCAGTTTTATCATCCTAGGTAAAGGGTCTGATTAAGTGTGTACTTCACTTGTAATTTCCTTTAACTAGGAGGAATAAAAGGCTGAGTAATTCATGTCAAGAGACCCTACAAAAATGGTGGCACCTGTGAATACAAATTACAGGCTTCCAGCTAAGTGGGCTGCAAGGATGAGGCTAAGAACCAGCAGCTAGCGCAGGACAAAAGACAGACCCCGCATGCCTAAAGGTTGTGTCCTCAGTCCTCTCTGCAGCTCCGTCACCGCCGAGTGCTTCCTTCCAGGCCCCGAGCGATTCATCCCGCTCCTTAAGGATGGATTCCACCGCTAAACCAAATGACCTGGTTATAAGCCTGCTTTTAAAAGTAGTTTATTTGGATTTTCCACATCCTTTAATGAATCGCAAATATATTAACAGAAAAGACTTTTTTTTTCTAAGACTGTACAATTTCTGAAATAAAAAGTCAGGAAAAGCAAAAAAAAAAAAAAAAGACATAACATTGTTTCAATGCAAACAGTACACATCACACCCACGCTTTGCATTTTTCCATAGTTTTGTTGTAATAAAATGACAGTTCCCTAATTCTTTTCAGCAAACACACTTGCTCTAACCTTGCTGTCAGAGTGCCTTCATGCTTGCCCTCCCACTCCTCTTCAAAGAGAGCAAAACTGTATTGATTAAATACTGATTTGGGGTATCTGTTTAGAAGGTAAAATAGCAGCATGGTCTAAATATCACTTGAAATTGTTGGAAAAAAAAAAATCTTAAGGGAGGATATACAGAAAGAGCAAGGGACAATTTTTCAGTATTAAATCTTCAGGGTAACATAAGCATCCTTCTAAAAAGCCCACCTGAAGAAAGCTCTTTTCCAGGCGGCTTGAAAAATTCTACCACAATTGTTCACAACTTCCAGAGAACAAAAAAGGGAAAAAGCCACCTGGTTTCCCAGCTCTCTGGTCCCCAGTTAAACAAGCAGCATGTGTTTTGGAAAAGTCATGAGGGTAGCACCTGCTTTTGCAAATCTGAAAAGAAGAAAAAAAATGGACAATTTGGGGGACAAAGTGCTCAGTGTATCTCTGCCTATTCTGAGAGAAATCCACTGGCTTCAAATGAGTTTTCTAGCTCCCACGGAGACGGAAGAGACTCCTCTCTTTGCTTAGGAGACTTAAGTGTTGGGGACAAAAGGCGGCCAGTTAACACAGTCACTAGTGTTTGCACGAGCACTGCCTCCAGACCTTGCGCTGTGGCGCTTCTTAGTAACTCATCCTCGAGGAAGCCTTACTGGGAGGAACGCACTCGGAAGCTGTACACGTAGGCTGAGGCTGGATAGGAAAACAAGGCAACTACAGATACAGGTAACCCAAGAGCACTCTGGGCTGACTCTCGGGAAACGCGAGCCCCGGCGTTCGCTTCAGGGAGGACTCGCCAGGAAGAAGAATCACCCCCGCATATCTGTCACCACAACAAGCCTTGCAAGATTCGGTACACTCAGGTCAGCTGAAACACTTTGTGATTTTTCCAGTCAATTCATCCACCTTCCAGACACAGGCAGGTCTGAAGCACACGGCAGAGGCACAAAGCTCCTTCATACGTTATCATTCCTCAAATTTAAGAGATTCCTCTTCACACTATTAGGAGAATTTAAGCCTATTTTTCACTGCTTATCCTCCTGCTTCCAAAAAAGGAAAAAAAAAAAAAGTATTTTTGCACTGCACTTGTGGATTATTTTTCATGAGAGAGTCCACACAACTTGCAACCAGAAAGGAGATGTGACAGAAGACACAAGTGCAAGAGAAGGACACAACTTTAAAAAAAAAAAAAAAGAACCCCCCCCCACACCCCTAAAGGTAACTAGAGGGCCCCTAAAAACAATATACATTAAAAAAATTAAGACTGATCACAACAAATATGTTGCTATGAAATTTATATCATTCCCAATTTATTATGCATAAATTGCTCTTTAAAACTGCTTATATCATACACTTTCTTTATCATCACTGCATAAAGGGCACCAATCATTGCTGCAGAATGCTACAGAGAAAGATCATTTTGGACTCCTTAACATGGTGTAGCTTTCTTCTCACAGAAACAGCTTCTGTGGAGAGGAAAAAAGGTCTCAATTCCTAGAGTGAGAAGGTACTCCGAGAATCTTAAAAGAACAGCTAAGAAAGAAGGAGAGGAAAAGAGCACAAAAGAAAGATAATTGCACATTTTTGCATCCTGCTCCGACCACGCTTTAGAAAATAGTTTTAAAAAGGATGCTATCTTAGACACATATTTGATGAATTTGACTGTAAGGTTCGGATTGTATTAAGGCTTCCATGGTCTTCCAAGTTTATTTAACTAGAAACATGCAATCATCACGGATTAAAGGTTTGATGTTTCCACATTACAGTTCTATCTACATTTCTCTCTTGATTTTCCCTTTATTAACTTTTATTCTTAGAAGGAGAAGAACAAATCAAGGGGTATACGAAAAACAAAGCAACATATTGCTGACTTGTTTGTTTGGAGTACAAAGTAAACACTGACATTTTAGAAACTAGGTGAATAAGTTAATTCTTGGTTAGAACATGAAAGCATTCTGTGAAAGCTGTGATTCTCCAATGCGATTCTCCTGCTACGTTTACACTCCTGCAAGTTTGCACTCTAAGTAGGGACACTGGATATTTCATGTAGTCTGACATACTCCCAGTCCTGAGCATGTGCATTATGTTTGTTCACGTGGAGACACTGCAGCTTTAAGGTCATTTACATTCCCTGGCATTTAAGTTACACTACAATATGCAAAAGTCTTTAACAGCCTGCATTTGTCAACATTGTCCTTGAAGAACTCGGAAATGAAGTTCAGCACTCTGCTTAACAAGAAAGAACCAAACTAAGACACGTTTCTGGAAAAAGAACAAGACACTGCTTCATTAGTACTATCCCCACATCTACTGGCTCCGTTACAGCAAACCACAAGTCTTTCTTCCATGATCTTCTTCCAGCGAAGGGGAGTCCAAAAATAGCATTTCCTCCTCAGTCATTTCCATAAGTGTGTAAGAGCCAACTAGTCAGACTCAGTAGCAGCTGAATATTGCACTGCCATTAATTCTGTGTACAGTTTCAGTCTGAGCGGTGTACTCATGGTGTCAGCGGAGAATGACGACAGTGCTGGCTCAGTGATGTGAAGACCCAGGATGCAAAGGAAGGGGAGAACACAACAGAACCAAGTCACACCCTCAAGCCCAGACGCTGGCTTCTGGAGGTTAAAATTCATCACTTTCAACCGCATGGAGCTGTGTGTCATCTGCATCCGTCATGCTGCTCTCTTGGGATTCGTCTGTGCCAACTTGAAAGAAAAAACCATAAAACAGTCAGACAGTACCGGGCAGCTTTTCTACAAAAATTCTTACACAATCAACTCCTGCATGTCAGAAGGACAGTAGCGATGTGTTTATTAGACTTTGCGAACAACACTGTTCCGACCTTTCTCCCCTTCCCCTCAAAAAGGCTTTTAAGCCATATGGCTTTCTCCTTTTACTTTCTAATATGCTGATCCACGCCAGCTTAATAAAGTCTAAATACATGTGTTAAGAAAAAAAATTAACATGAAATACATCATCTAGAAACAAGCAACCTCATTATTTTAATGCCTTCTTATACACCTTCTGCTAAAGGCCTGAAATTCCTGACACCTAGTTACGTACGAATCAGTATGGCAGGTTTTAAAGCTGCTTCAGAAGCGATTTAGCCTTCTCACTCCTTCAAAACATACCAGCTGTCTAAAATGCTCATATTCGTTACCCGCTACATTAGCGCATCAAGATCACTCAGAATTTACAATCAAATAATATTTAGTTATTAGTGTTCAGGAATCTCTGCTTACTCCTTGCCTTTACGACAGAGAATACGGCGCAAGATCTATGGTAAGAATGGCTTTGAGTAAACACCGTATGCAAAGTTTCTGATGCAGAAACTTGCATTTCAAAGCCACATTTTGATTTGCAGAGAACTTTTCCTGCTCACTCAGCTCAGAGGATGGCTGAGCTATAGCTTCCAGAAAAACTAAATTCCTACTGTTCATCTGAGTAAAGACAGCATGCTGTCCACACGTGCATACTGAGAAGCTACTCATATTTAACTTCTGTCCTTGTTAAAGTTAGTACTAAGGTAAATATCTTAAGGTGGTTGTTCTTCCCATACAACAGTAGGACTTGAGTATGCTCTCTATGGCACAGTTGAGCATGTTAATTGTCATTTTCCAAATACCAAACTTGTTTCTCATGAAGAAACACAGATGCCTTCATTGCTCTAATGAAAGAGTTTCCACATGTTTTCTGTGCAATGGATACTAAAGTGCCTAGCACAGGACCTGAAATGTGCCAAATGGCTTATATTAGCCAATATATTAAAAACAGCTCCCTCCACAAATGCTACTTTAATTTGCCTCAGCTAGTCTCATATATCCCAAGAGAGTTATGCAGCTTAGGCTGAGAAACTGTTTACATGTTATCTGCAGAGCGAGGGAAACTGAACCACTTTCACACAGCACAACCAGGATACTGGTTTATTTCAGTTATGCTTATTGGACAGATTAAGGATTCCCCCCCCTCCTTTTTGCTGCTCAGTGGCTTAGGTGTTGCTCAGAAGCTCAAGTACTCTGTCTCCATCTTCTGGGCAGAAACATGCTCATCCCCAGCGACCCACAGCGTTCTAGATTAGTCCAACTAAAATAGTGGGGAGAGGAGGTCTGATACTTCAGGTAATGCAATGCAGGCTAATTTTCTAGTATTAAAAAGCACAACGTAAACAAGATCAATAAAGTTAACATGATATACAGCAGTAAAATGACTTTTTCAGATGAAGATTCAGAATTACAGAAAACAGCATATTTCTGTTAGTTTTCCCTGCCCAAAGAAAACGTATTTTTTCCAGAAGATTAAATTGCTTATTAGTACTTATTTTCTATCACTGTCTATTTCTAGTTTGTTTCAAAGAGGTCAATATACATGCTTATCCAGGCTTCCAAAATTTAAACACATAATAATAATAAAAAAAAATCAGAGAAAGAAGAGAAAACTGTGCCATTCCTTCTGTGGATTATTCCACAAGTACTATATTTGGGAGTGTTTTATTTACTCTTGTTTCAAATGAAATTGCTTCCACGACTTTCTTGGAAAGCTACTTTTGACAGTTTAGCAGACCACTGCGTATTTTTGGCCAACTTTGTTTAACTTCTGACAAAGCCTCTGTAAACAATTTCATTTTACACCATTCAGTTAACTTGAATGATTTGATGCTTTTATGGTACGTGACCAACATTTTGGTCACAGAAAGCTACTAACCAACCATGACTGGTGTGAACGTACAGTATTCGTTGAGATATTTCTGCCCTATCCCTTGAAGATTTAGTCCCTGTAGATGTAACGCTTACAGAGTCTAAAGAAATCTCACAATCCTTCATTTCATGCTTACTGCAAGAAGATCCGACTTCTAAATAAGGAACCTCGGAGTTCTTTCTTGCTGAGCAGACAGGTCAGCTTGGGAACTTTCACTCATTATGAGCACTAGCTGACAGCAAAGTGGAAATATCTCCTTGAATGACAAGGAATTGGAAATACTGACCTGATTCATATGGATAACATTCGCTGATTTGTTCTTCTTGAGTTATTGGTTCCTCATCATCTGGAAGGTAACGTTTATCAATGGCCTCCTTAATCTGGTTGTTGGCTCCTTTGGGATCTAAATCCATCGCCCACGAGAAATTCATTAGGGCCAAATGAGTTTGACCCAGTTTTTTATAAACCTAAAATAAAAGCATAAAATGCTACATTTACATGAAGTTGCTACTTCAAAGTTCAGACCACAAACATACTAAGCCACAGTTGGTTAATTAGCCTTAGATTAGACCTACATGTCTGCACAGGGAAGCAGAGGACTCAGGATCACAATTAAGTTTCCAAGAATTTACCTACCTTTCCTATTAAAAAGTAAACAAGAGACTCTTTGGGAACAATCTGTTTCAGTTCTTCAAGTTCTTGTAAAGCAGACTGAAAAGGAAGAAAGAAACATTAGCAAATATGAGCTAGCAGCCCGCAATCAGCTATGACATCCTTAAATTATGATTTAGTGATAATGGGAAACAAAAACAACCCCCCCCCCCCACATTTCCATACCGTATGTTCTATTAAGCGCAACTGTACAATCTCACGACAAATATCTAAAATTCCTTTTAGAGATGTTTCTTCTTTAAAGACTGATAGCATATTTTAGCCCAATTTTTACCAGAACAGAGCAAGTATATTTGGCTTTGGTCTCCTACAAAAACATCTGAGACATGCGACACACAAAACATCCCCCCCAAAGACAACACACAATAAGGTATAAGACACAAGAAGCTGACAGTGTCTTTACAGCAACCACTTCCTTCAATATACTGAGCGTCTCAAAAAGTAAGACTATTGATTTGCTTTGCCTGGACATACCGCTCTCAAGCCTATGCTTCTGAAAGGTTCTGGTTTTGGATACTGCGGACTCTTATAAATGGTTTCTGTGTATATGTTAGGCATTCAGAGCCTAAAAGATTTAATGAAATCTCTGATCACCCCAGCCCACCTCTGGCAGAAGCATGGGGAGCATCAGCGCTCTGGAAAGGAAGTTAGTGGGTGTTTATCACAGCCAGATACTGAAGACTGTTGCAAAGACTCAGGCATAAGAAATAACGGTCATATTTCAATGTGTTTTATTTTGCCTTTTAAGCAAAGAATAAAGCTAGGTACGGTAAGTTAAAGAACAAATTTTCTTTTCTTGCTGTTTTATTTAATCTTTGGTTTATCCTCTGCTCTTCATTTTTAGAAACAATCTACAAAAGGATACCTCATTAAGTCCTCAACCTTGCTTACAGCTTATACTTAATTGATTCTGTTATGAATTTTCAAAACAAGTTCTAAGTAAAGTTTCCCCTTTACATGAGTACACACATTTTTTGAAGCAAGGTTTCAAAAGCCAGACTGTGGCTTGTATGCTGTGGCCAAGAAAAACAGGCATCACAGAACAAGAATCACTGAGAAATGACTGTGGGAAAGATCTCCACTCTTTCTAAATAAGATAGAAGTCAACAGGGGATCGGACGGTTCAGAAGTTGTTCACCTTTCCTTTATTTACCAGATAATACAGGCTTTTGAAATATCAGGTTCCTATTGCTGCAATTGCTTTATAGGGCACTTTGCTGAGCCATTGTTAGTAATTTGGTATAATACATGTTAACACAGTTGCATCTCAGTGACAGCTGTAACAGTTTCCCACTCTTTCTTCTCTTCTTCCAGGGTCAGTGAGATTAAAGTAAAAAAAGTCACCTGCCAACCTCAGATGTTATGACAATCAAAGAATTTAATGTAGTTCCCTCCATGAAGAAGGCATTTGTCAAAGCAAATGCTTTATGTTAGTCTCTCTACAAGAGGCAGATGTCCCAGGCTCTTCCTGCTCACCTTGCGAGCCCTGATGCTACCAACGCTCATGTGTAAGCATGTAGCTGCCAGTGCTTCCTCATTCACAGCTACAGCAGTTTAATGATAATTTAGAGTTGTCCATATACCAAAACTTACCTTGTATTTTTCATTTGCAAATAATACAGAAGCTCTATGGAATTTGCATAGTGGGTTCTTGGGGTCAATGTTAATAGCCTTGTTTAAAGTATCCAAAGCCTTTTCAGATTTTTTCAGAGCATGCTGAACCTATTAGAGAGAGAAGACAATCTCAAAAGGGAAAGTAACAGCTGATCTGCCAGACAACTACAAATTCATTTGGCTACATTTACTGACAATCTGTTCCTTTAAAAGTATTATATTTCTCCAATTGCAGAATACGCCTTAAAGAAAGTAAGCAGGTTTTTTGTTTGTTTGTTTTAAACAAGAAAAAAGCTTTGTCTTTTGCCCACTTTCCTTCTCCCCAACACTCTCCACCCAAAGGCTGGAGAAATCATTTAGCCTTTGGCCAAGAGTTAACTTAATACTTACTGCAGTGTGTAAGGGGCAAGAAGCATTACTAACCCTGCAGAATTTGACATGCTTTGCTGTCATGCAACAGGCAAATTAATGCCAGCAGGTAGCAATCCATCATGCTTACAAACTTGTCACTATTATTAACATTTGGGAATTGCATCATAATTTCATAAGCAAGCATTCCCTAGAGTATTGCTTTTTTTTTTTTTTTTTTTAAAAAATGTCCTGCAGAGTCAGGTGGATAAGTGACCAACTTTTCAGACAGCTGAATAAATTTAATTGAACAGGTGCTGGTTGAAGTAACTGCCTACTAGTTTAGTTTAACTTAGTAAAAAATAGCCCAAGAAATAAGTTGTGTACAAAGTGATTAGGATGAGGGCAGTAAGGATATACAGCCAGGAAAGAGTATCCTGCTCTGGAAGGTGATATAAGCGCACTTAAGCATTAGCCAAAACTGGAAATGCTAGTCCAAGCATATGGAGTAGCACTTAAACCACTGATTTTGTTACGTGGTGAGTGTGTGTGTGTGTAACCACACACAAGCTTGATTTTCATACCACTGCTGTTATGAGTTACTCATAAACACAACCTGATAGTAGATAACTTCATCACTGGCTAAAGGTAATTTAGGAAGAGAAACCCTTCTCTTCCCCTACACAGTAATCCTGTGGTTATTCATTCATATTGGAGGATCTTAAGTGCTATATGTACTTTGAACTTTTTTTGTTTTTTGTTTTTTTTTCCCTAAAAAACAAGTTCACAATATGACTTTTCTATTGCAAACACGAGGTACAGAAGTAGATTAAAACATAAAAAGGATAGAATTAAGTGCAATCACTTACTACTCCAATGTGACACAGCAAGACTGAGCTCTGAGGATTGATATCAAGTGCTTTCTGGAAATGCATTTCTGCGAGACTGAATTTTTCCTGTTTGTAATAAATCATACCCAACCCATACCTGCAAGCACAAAAACAATTCTGTTAAGTAAGACTGCTTCTAACCATAAACCAGCCTTTGTCTGTAAGCATGACCTGACAAACGTTCTACAGACTCGCCACTCAATCAGGGGTACGGACTCTTTCTTATGGGAGAAAGCTGTGACTAAAGTTTTTTTGTTCAATTGCACAGTTTGAAGAACTGATCTCTGACACAGATAAAGTGGCTAAACAGCTACAAACAGAAGTAAAAAGCACATATAAAGCCTCTCAAAGTTGAAGTGATTTACACTATCAGGTCTGACTTTTATAGCTTTTTCTGAAGAAAAATATCTAAACCAGTAAGAGAAACTGATTATATCCTGAGGTATGGAAGAATAGCTCTCTCTCATCTCGCCACCTGGGAGGGAAGAATAAGGAACTAGACGCACTAAGAGCACTGCATAAGAGAACAAAATAGCTGGGATAACGCAGACAGGAAGATCTGAGGAAAACCAGAAAAGCTCCACGTTTTCCCTCTCCCCTTCTGTGGAAGTAAGCATTTAATAAACGCGAGGCCCACATCTCCTGCAGGAGTAGCTTCGCTCTTTTCTTAGAGAGGAGTGCTAGGGAAACGCTGGCAGTGGCAGCATCAGTAAGATATGTCTCCAGAAGGAATTCTGTATCACATGCAATGGAAGGGGGATGAGGCAAAAACTTACCATGCATTATAGTGTCTAGGGTTGACTCTGATTGCATTTCTAAAACAAGCTAATGCTTTGTCTAGTTCTTCTGTTAACACAAATTCATGCCCCAACAGGGTGTAGGCATAAGCATAGTTTGGATCAACTTGAATGGCTCTCTGGAAGAACTTGATTGCAATGTCATGCTCTCGTTGCAAGCTGAAACAGTTTCCTGCAGCACACCACGCCTAGTAAAAACAGCATTGCAAAGTCACCACAAAGTCCCTTTTTACAACTTAAGGGTGACAAAGTTCCAGCTGAACTGATTTTCCCCATACTGATTTACATAAAACTACGTATCAACTGTCGCTAGGATGAACCACCAACTATTTTACCAGAGCACGAGAGAGAAAGACCTTCCTCCTAGATCAAAAATAATAAAAGTTTAGTTAAATCTTGTTCCTGTGAGGCAGGTAAGGCTATATGCACCTTACAACTAGACAAACTGAAACAGAGGTCCAGAATCCAGGGGCACCCAACAAGTTTGCACCAACTAGATACTTTGATTATTAAAGCTTTTTAAGCTGTTGAAAGGCTAGAAATAAAACATCTTACATCTAGGAACAGTGTGTGTTAGGACAGTACATTCTCTTTCACTCTCCAGCTACCTCAAATTGACAAATTTGGAATTTGCAGATTGACAATGATAGCAGCAACCTCCTCTCTCCCGCCTGCTCAGCGACCAACATCAAGATTGTAAGGAGATCACAGCCTGTGGTCCTTTGCATTCCCAAATTATTAGCATCATTGTCAGATCCCACAACTGTTCTCCACTGCTCACATTAGAGTCTGCATTCTTCTCCTCTCCACACTATCTTGCTGCAATTTACAGACCAGCTGCTTCATAGGTTTGCTTTTCTGCTAGCAGACAAGCTAATAAGAGGACAAGAACAGGATTCTCTTCCAGCAACAAATCCCACTAGGAACTAGTTTCCTCAACTCTGTTAAAGCAAACATTTATAGAGATATATCTTTGTTACTCACACTGTAGCGCTCAGTAAAAGACACCTGACTTTCTGCATATCATTTCTTTGTACTGCCATACACCCCTTTGTTCAATGGCCTTTTCAAACATAACATTGCACATTTATACACCAAAGAAGTTTGGGCCAACTATGTTTTAAGTGCCAGTGAATTAACTGCAGCAATTGCAAGGTACTACAGGATTCCTTATCTTGAGATACTGGCAGTAGCAGAACAGGAAAAAGATCTGCAGTTCTCAAATCCATTAGGTAACACCCTATGTAACAGGAATGACTGACTGATCCTCGGTCTTCCTAGATGAATGGTGCCAATGCAAATTTAAGTAATCATTAACAGGTAAGAGGTTTCAGCCTGTTCCATGTAAGCTGATATTCTGAGAGGCCATTTCAGATATCATCGGTTCAAGAGGCAATCCTGCCACCTCCCTCTCCAGTTTTACCATGCAATTCTCACGTGAGAATATACCTGAACTAGATTAGATCTCAGAGTTTTGCTCTGAATCATTGATCTTGCCACATACAGTTACTCTTCTCATTCAAGAGAACAGCATTTTATACCTCTGGTGAGTTTTTGTCCATATCTGTCAAATCCTTTGAGAGGACTGAAAGGGCAACATCTTTCTGCAGATGCCACAGCGTGGTGGAATAGATCTCCATGCCTTCTACTCTGTAGTTTTCAATCCTCCTTACTTCCGAGAATATCCTCTCAGCCTAAGAAGAGGAGTCAAATTAAAAAAAAGAAATCCACTCATAAAAGCAGAGCGCATAGGTCAACGTTGGAAGCCTCATACGTCCAAACTGAGCGTTCTCTTTACCGCGTAAATAAATGTACTATGCAGAACTACAAGTCCTGTGGTGGTTGTAACTTCCTCTTCAAATGAAGGAGCAACTACCCCACATCTAGCTAAGGCAAGCAGAAATCTAGCCAGCCTTCCCTACTGGCTGACTCAGATTACAACACCGTCTTTACTGTAGTGCACAAGCAAGACAGAAAAAGCTATCAGCAAAAAAAAAAAGAAAGAAAAAACATTTAGCATATATATACACGGACCAATTGTGTTTATTGGCCATTCTAATAGACTTCAAGTATTGTATTCATACTGAGTGCTAAAACCCTCCAAACAATGTTGAGCATATTAAGTACAAGGAAGAAAGGCAACACGAGAATCACAGCAGTGAACATGGATGGTGCAGAGATGGGGAGAGGGGTAAGCACACATGACAGTGCATGGAATATGGCTTTATTTTTGTTTGAAACTAGTACGCTTAGGAACAGTTGACCAATTCAATTCTTCTGATGTAGACATCTATTTCACAAACGTGAGTTCCTTCTATGAGTTACCACACTCGAAGCAGCATCAAGGGAAGACGACTAGCTTTAGGAAGTTGTTAGGGTCTGCAGCCTCAGTTTTCAAAAGAAACTGCACAAAAAGCCAAACAGGGTGACTGACATGCTGTCTTCGGTCAGATTTTGTGTGCAATTTAAAAAAAATCACTTCTGAAACCCATTACATTTGTCTCCCGTTCACAATAAGTCAAGGACTGTTTTAGAAACTGCTAAGGAAACTTGTCTGGAGAGAACGAGCACATCAGACAACAGCAATAAGAGTTAAACTGCTGGATACCCTTAAGTGCTCAACTTTTGTTTCTGAACCACACAGTTTGACATCACCTCAGCTGTGCCAATGCAGTCATTTCTGAGGCTGCAAAGGAAACTAGATTATTGAAGTGATCTGCGTTAACTAAACATGGTAGAAAGGAGCTAGGTTTTTTGTTTTAGAATCCACATTGTTTCAGTGATCTAATTTATGCCATTGCAGCACCAACAGTTGCATCAGCACAGCTGTGGGTGAAGAGGGAGAGACAAGGGGTAGAGCCCAGTGATTACACACAAGAGGAATCAACTTAAGCATTAAAAGAAATCAAATGCATAACACAGCCTCTTCAGGAAAGCAGAATGACTACTGATCCAGGTTTAAGATCTAAATCCATTCCAGGTATAACTTTACTACCCAAACCTAATGCTTATACAGCTATCTGTGAAAGCTGCAGAAGGTCACAGTTGAGAAAGTCCACAGATTTTGTGCAAAATTATGCAAAATGAAACCAAAAAGTAAGAAAGACTGCACACTGTTCCTACCTGCATATATTCTGCAAGTTCGAAGTAAGCTCTCCCAATTTGGCACAGTACCCAACCGGTGTTGTAGTGGTGAGATGGTAAATGGCTTAAAATATTTATCGCTTCTTTACAATTGTATGAACACAGGGCTAAATAACCTTTCCCCATGTCACGAAGAAGGCTCATCAAACCTTCTAGGAAAAGAAAAATACAATAAATAAAAATGGAAGACGACTGCTGAGACTTATTACTTGAAACTGCTAACCTCAGAAGCTACTCACTGTGGCATGGACTGCTCTTGAAATCTCTTTCGAAAATCGTTCAAGGGTTCCCACATACAGGTTTATATACAGCTAATTTAGGCATAATATTCTGAATATCTGCCCTTGTCATGGAAGATACATATTGACTTTAAGCCAGTAACAGAACACTCAGAAACAGGGAAACTCCAAAGTTCAGGGCAAGTTGAGTTTTATGTTTACAGCAATGATTCAAACATTTTGTTAGGTCTGAACAGAGTTTCCACATGTCTGGTATCCATGGATACATCTTGTTGCTGCCTGGAAACTTTATCGAGCCCAAAAAAAGGAACTGGGCAGTTTGTCTAGGATTTTCTGGCAACCTGGATAAAGACCTGTTTTTAAATAAATGGCACATAGGAAGGGAGAGAAGACTATATAAACCCTATTACAAGAGAGTAAGACTAGATTACACATAGCTCCTTTGACTCAGTTTCCAAGGATCTTGCCTAACAATATTTTAATGTTGATCACTAATAAGGACCAGAGTCTGCAAGATTTATCTGGTTACAAGTAGTAACCTTTTATAACTTGCAGAGAAGGGGAAGAAGTAAACTGGAAGATACTGAATTCATCCAGCTTGATAATTACACAGAGATGATAGCTATGGACTAACCAGAACAACATGAAAGTAGTAAGACTGGAGCAAACATTTTTCTCATTAAACCTTAACAACTTAGATTTACATTTTTAAGATTACGTAGATCGTGCGACTCTACTACGTTCTGATAGCATTCAAACAGACCTGCTGCTGCCTTCTGTAGCGTAAAAGCCTGAATCTGTGGTGTGACAGTGGAAATTTTCCCTTCTGAAATGATGGAAGAGTCCAGTTTGGTAATTTCCAGACTATCATTTATGTTCGGTTGAGTTATTCCTCCCTTATTTGTTTTACTTTTTGTTTTTCTGTTTGGAATCTTAGGTGGAAATTTCATTTTTAATTTTTTGCTATTTTCCTGAAAGGAAGAAGAGTAAGAGTTACATATGTAAGAATCTTAAAATTCAGATTACTAAACTTGCAAATGAATTGTGAAGAAATACGCCTGCAGCTTTAACAGCAGTGCCCAACCACTTCACTTTCTAAAAGTAAGCATACAGATTCCTAGTAACCACACTGAAGGTTTGGTTGCTCTTTTCTTTCTAAAGAGGCAAATGTTCACATCTCATAAGTATGGTCCATGAGTATTGTGCTTTGGTGTTTTATTCCATTTTTAAGTCAAAAATAACTGAAATGAAAACAGTAAGTTGTTTTTTTTTTTGGGGGGGGAAGAGAGATTTGCCCCAAATGACATTTTCAATAAATATACTTGGAAAACATAACCCCTTTATCAAATGAGTTGACAGCTAGCAGGATGACTGCATATGTCATCCCACCATACATTGTTGTTGTTGTTATTCAAGACATTTTTCTTCCTACTCTTTTAGTTGGGTACTCTTGAGAGCTGAAAAATAACACATCATGACACCATGATAGGTTTTGTACAATCAGCTATTTCGTAAGCTCTGCTCATTACAGAGCCAGTTCTTAAGCTCTGGAACTGCTAATGCATATGGAGGAATTTTGTTATTAGTCAGTGCAGTGGCACGGTTAAGAAAAAAACCTACAAGTTTGCAAAATTGCAAGTTGCAGTTTGTTACCTTTGTGGTAGAGCTATCACTAGTAAACAGGCGAGAGCTTCTCCGAGGCAGTGCATTTGGTGGAGCAGCAATTGTTGGGCTCAATACCTGAGGTGTTGTACTGAAAATAAGCAACACATTAAAACTAAAGTTCTTGGTTCCATTTTCAATAAAAATAGCTTTTACATTTATTTTAGACAAAAATTCTCAGGCACTACAGCGCAGGCATTCCCATCTCAACAGGATGGGAAAAAAATCTGCTGCATGTTAGTAACATGAGCAGAATTTTCTTCTAGCTACTTTATCACTTACTGATGAAATTGTTTAACTGCAAAGGAGATTTAAAACAAACAAACCACCATGCATGAGCTCCCACCTTATCGATGGAGCTTTTTCAAACACAAAACAAAAAACAACTAAAAAACCCCACAATCATACCCTGACCTCCATCAAAAAAAAAAAAAAACACCCACACAAACACCACAATAACAAAACACCCACACCCCTTCCTCATCCAAACAGGAAGGCTGCAGGAACTTCCAAAAAGGAGGAAAAACAGCCAAATTCCATCAGAAAGAAAATACAACAGGTAATACTAAGATAAATAATTTTTCCCCTACCTTGTCTGCGGGCCAGAGCTCTGTGTTTGTGCAACAAGGATTGGAGTGACTTCCCGGCTATTTCCACTTTGTGAGAAGACAGATTTCGTTCCAGCTTGGCTTATCCTGGTGACAGTCTGCATAACACAAAGTTTCTACAGGTTTGTTATTATGCCACTAAGTCATCTCAATCTCTGTTATATCAAAACAAATCTCTTCTGCCTATCAAACACTGCACAAAGAAGAAACATATATTCTTTCAATGCAGGATTTTTTTCCAGAATCCCCTATCAAAAGTATTTCTCATTCGGCTTGTTAAAATGCCAGTAACACTGAATTTATCAAAACTTCATGCTCGTTATTTGAAAGGCATGAAATCTCTCCATCTAGTTATTTGAAAGGCATGAAATCTCTCCATCTAGTGGCAAGTGTCTTGCATAAACTTGTTTAATGTTTATGCAAGAATAAAAGGAATTAAAAGATACTATATTTAAAATTCCTTCTCTAATAGCAGAAAGCTGTACAAAGGAACAACCAGGGAAAAAGAAAGGCATTTTTGAATTACTGTATTACAATCATATCCAGAAGCTACTCACCATTAACACCTCACTACGGTCCTTACAGTACAACAACCAAGACAGCTGCTGCCCTGAAGACTTTACACTAATTTCAACTGCCTGGTTAGCACAACTGTTCACAGTATAAATCAGTATTTCACAAGTTAAATCATTACTGCACGAGCCTTCGGGAAATACAGAAGCAGCCTCCTTCATCAAAAAGGGACCTGCATAATGCAGCATAGAAAGTTAAGAGAATAGAGACCTACAGTCAAGTTAACACAGGACAGCAAATTCTGCATGTCAGTTGAGCAGTAAGTGGACATATGCACATTTTTTGTCTACAAATACAAGAAAACACTATTCAGGTTAATCATGTTTTCTTTAGAAGTTACAAGTTACGTTGTCCGTCTACCTTTTATTGCCACAGGTTACAAGCATGTAAGATAATGTTGTGGTGCTAAGTCACATTTCATCTTCTGTGAGCTAAAAATGTGCATTTTGATGCCTACCCTGGCTCAGCTGATGCGTGGGAACTTAGAACTGTAAGAACTTGACTGTGAATCCGAGTCC